TGACACGAATTCGGTGCCGGTGGCCGGTGATGTAACGTTGGGCAGCCGCGAACCGTGCTGCAGCCGTCATCTCATTATCCGATACACAATCGATTTGAGAGGTATGCGAAAGTGCCCATCTTCGAGCGATAGCGTGGGCTTGCGTGTAGCTTGTTTGTTATGTATACTCTGTGGCACTTTGAACCGAATCTTAAGTATTTTTACTAATACGAAGTAAGTAAGCCGATATATGCCATACAGCTGGGCCGAGGCCGCCTTTGCACAGATTTGGGCATCGTCCGCAGACATCTTCGACGGACCAATCCTAACATATGCTGTGTTCATTTTGAAAATCTGCAGGTTTACTCATACTGTTTTCCTTCACCACTGAACACGTGATAAATCAGCATCTAAAATTGTAATTAACAATTACATTGGTGCCGGCACCGGAATTTGAACTCGGGTTGCTTGAGTGTATTGAATCGAAAGCCAGCGGCAGTTCACTGAGCTATCACTGCACAAACAAAAGTACATTTTAGTACATTTTCACAAAGTTTGTCATAAGTTAAATGAATAAATAAAGTTAAATAACACATAATACAGTAACTTTTATATTACCGATAGCATTTTTCAGTTCAATTAAAACCCAAACCCGTGGGTTCTGGCTAGCCCACCGGTTCTGCGTCAGATGAAGCTTTAATAGTCTCGGGACTGAAAGCAAAAACATCAGTTAATACAAGATACAAGACAGTTCAATTCTCATTAGTATATATGAAAATAGTGGCATAAGTTTCCGTAATATGTTTATGTATGCTCTTAATTTTTTGTTCAATTTTAAAGAATATTAGTAGTTTAGTTAACACATTACTTTTTGTACACACATATTTATTCTTGAAGGTCTATTAAACATAGTTTTGTCATTTATAATATCTGCCCCAAATTGTTTATATTAATCTTTTGGGTCCCCAATAACCAAATTGATAAATATCATGAATAAGACGTTAGGTTCAGCGTTTTATTGATGGAAGAACTATGACACGATGTCATAGAACATTATCAAAACAATACAATTGTTACGAAAGTCCGAATACCAGAGGTCTGCCCACTGACGTCTCAAAACGTTTATGTTGTTCAGTTAATAGAGGTGGGCGTATAATAAAGCTTTGTATGGTGTTGGAAGAGTAGGCGGAGGGCAAGGTCATCTTTTCATGCTGCGATTTTGTTAATTGAAAAAGCTACCAATGGTTGTCATGTTGCGGTAAGTAAATATGACGACTAACCATATAAGTAGTGGCGGACATGTCGAATAGTGCTAAGATATCCTCCAAGGCCTTTGTCCAGCTGCGCGGTGTATTTAAAGGATGGCAACTTACTGCTTTTCTATATTTTATACTTCTTATATAAGGCTTATTGATATTTCAAGTTAATCAAACTCCCTCGTTGGTGTATTGTACTTATTCATTCATGTCATATCGATTTCAACCAGCATTGAAAATCCCAATACTTTTAAGATATAGCTTGTAAAATCATTGATACCTTTCGAATGTTCTATTAGTAAGCTTATGTTTGGTTGTATTAGTTATATTTATTTTTGAGATCTAAATAATGCATGTTATGCAAGAATTATAAAAAGCCTGTTAGCCGGGATCCTCACCAGGTACGTGAGCTAATGATGAAAATCGTAATGTTTTCGTTTAACAATTAACATTCCACCGCCAAGTATCATTACTTAAATCAACTCGGCAACAATGCGAAGAATTACCGGTCGCAATACCATAAAGCAGCCAGTATGAAACCCGACGCATTGTCACTTTATGACTGATGTTTTTTTCGAACCTTGTTACATTTACTCAAGTGCTAAAAGCCGCTCACTTTTACAATCGCTCTTTAAGGTTTTACGTTCACTAATTGGATTTTATCTTTTGTATTCTACGATAATGACTTAAATAATGGCTTCAAAATAATTAATTTACTTTACGTTCTGCAACTATTTGTACTGGTATATTGCGAGTGTGGTTGTTCGTCATTGGCTCCGACTCCGGGATCGTGAGTTCGAATCCTACACGAGACAAGTGTTTGTGTCCCACATATAATATCCGGATCTAGAGATGTTTATTCCTAGGGAAAAGTCAGGCAGGCCGGTCTTAAAAAAGTAGTATCATTAACAAAATGATTAGCATGTTTTACCCACTCCACATAGGGGAAAGAAGGTTGTTACATTTATTTAATAATTATCTCGGAGACGCCGATTAGCTCTTAAGTAGTGTCGAATTCGTTTATTTCTCAAGTGTGATTATGATGGATCCTCTAGTCTACTTATTAATACATGAATTGCGCGCGGATTCGCGGCGGAACTGCATGTGTTGACGCAAAACTACTTGTTTTTTCTTTCAGTCCGTAGACTATTACGGTTTCATTTAAGTAAAACTCGTGAGATGTGACTGTCTCACCTAATCGGGCCCTCCGTATTGGGTAGGGCCATCGAGGTTCGGTACGGACTCCGACTACGACTCCGCTGGCCGTTGACTCTGACTGTATTAACCGCTTTGGAACTTGGGTGTACATTGTGTACGCTTCGTGTTACTTTCGCCGCGCTCGTAGGCGAGGACGAACTTATTGTATTAGCACTATATGTGCGTATATTTTTGTCTAGCTGGATACCCGGTGAGTCCGACATAGCTGGCTAGCACCTTCCTCGACCGTGTTGATGAAGACCAGGCGCCGGCGACGTTAATGAACGGTCGTTTTTATCGTGTTGTTAGTTCGTTATGTTGTCCATCAGAACATTCGAATGTTTTAAGCCCTTTCGATGACCCGTTTGGTTAGCACTCTAGTGTTCAGGTAGCGTAAACTAGGGCGTTTGTATGCAGGTAAAAGTTATGCTGATACCACCTAGCATCGGTTGAAAAGCGAATGAACTTATTTGGAATGGCCTGAAGTTTATAAAAGCTTTTAAGATGTACGTGAGCAAAAGTTATGCAAGCGTAGGACACTATGGTGAGATGGGATCATTGAGAGATTGGATTTGGCGGTGGCGTTAGCCCGAAAGAATTGTATTACAGCTGAGATTAAGGTCGTTTGGTTTGTCCATTAACAAAATCATTTGCCGAGGCGATCGGCGAAGCGTCATTCGACTAAGATGTTTTTTTTTTCAATTTTAAGGCAGTGTCCGCAAGAAGCGCGATATAGACACTTGAGTCCTTAGGGGTTTCGCTCGTGTAAAACGAAAATACAGAGGGTGAGAAGAACGAACCTTGAGGAACACCCGTCGTGAGGTGACGCTTCCTAGAGCATTCTCTTCTCGTTATAGAAAAAAGCGATCGAAAAAGTCCGAATTTTTATTAACGAAAAACAAAACCGACTTCAAATATCTCACTCTGTATTCACTTTATAATTAATTTTCAGGAGTTCTAAATATCCCTGGAGGCAAAAATCCAACACCAATGAAATTATTATGGCACCACATGGGAAGCACCAGATCAATAACCGTTCACTCAGACAAAAGTTCTGAGGTAACAACAACAAAAAACTTTCGAATGACAGTTTCGAGATGTTCTCTTTCACCGCTGAGTGCGAACGTGATAAGTATTAGAAAAGTTAAAAGAAATGTTATTAATAATAGATATATTTCTTAATCACTAAATTCTAATAACATACAATGAAAAAAAAAAAAACAGATCGTTCAAACATAGACGTTAAATTTAGGGACACTCACGGCCGGTTTCTGAAACTGATCATTGTAGATGTTAACTAATCAGCTGTCAAATGACTTCAAATTTCATTTTAGTTGCCAAATAATGGTTAAACTCTCCGAATTGACCAGAAGGAAGATTCTTAATGATCAGAACGATCATTTGACAGCTGATTAGTTAACATCTACGATGCTCAGTTTCAGAAACCGGGCGTCACTGTATTTATCGAATTTGACAAAGCAACTAGCAAATCGAAACAAGTTAGTACTCGTGGGGTTTCTCATCCGTAAATAAAAATACCGCACTTGGTGGAATAAACGTTAATATGTAATGTGAAAAAAAACCGTATAAAATACAAAAAATATTGTACATTATAGTGGAAATAGGCAAACGACTCTGCGATAAACGTATTATTTTAAACTTCGTTTTGCAATAATAAACGTCTAAATACATATCAACATATGAATAAATCTGTATAAGTCAGCAAATGTCCAAGCGTAAAGTAAAAAGAAAAACGCATATATCACAAATAAAAAATTTATTATCTATATAACATAACATCGAACCGTATCGTACGATGGAACGACTGTATAGTACATAATCGCGTGTACCGGCCTCGCGATACGCCAGTGGGAATAATGCCTTAAACGCGACGGGTTAGGGGTTAAAATTACACGGCCGTTTCACGTCATCTGAGAGCACAGACAAACGTACAAGCAGACGGCATATATCGACTATCAATACAATTAGTACGTTGAGCACATAACAATATCACAAAAATATATGTTTCTGAACAGGCGTGCCCAACCCAATCATCAATGAGGTGAATCATGAAAAAATAAACAACGAACACAAAAATTAACCACCTAAAATACCTAAATCATTACATTCACATACTAGATTTATAGCTCTTCATTAATATATTATAGCCATTGTTAGTTTTATACATCCAACTTATTATTTACCCCCACAAAATCAATCAAGAAATGAAATAAGTTATTTGAATAGCTCTAACCACTCTTGTATATAAATCGATAAAGCACCAAGATTGGATACATAATAGAAGACGGGTTTAAAACACAGAGTAACTAACTAGACCCAAAAAATAATGAAAATCGGGATCGAGCGACCGACCCTTGTTAGTAAACGGTTGGGCACCCCTGTTCCGTATCTCTTCGCCGCTAAGCGGCAGCTCAGTTCGGAGTTTTCGTTCACACGATTATCGACTTTGTAAACGATGCGGACAATTTCGGTTTAGGGAGATACAGGTGACATTCGGAGCGAGCAGGGGAGTGGGGTTGGGGGTGGGAAGTGTTCACGTTCGCTCTACATGAAGTCGTCGTAGTCGTCGTCGTAGTTGCCGTAGGCGTCGTATTGGTTGAGGTGGGCCTGAAACAAATGGCACGCTCATCATTTCTTTCACCATACATAGCGACAGCCGAAATAGAAAAGGCGGTCGTCCAATGTGTTTTTGTGTGACTTTTGAGTTTTTGTTTTTGCTTGCTTGGCAACTTTTCAGATGAAAAAAAAAAAAAAAAAAAAAAAAAACTTCAGCGTTATACACTTCAAGCCGGTTTTCTGTGAGGTTGTGGTACCTACTTACCCGGACGGACCTGCCCATTCGTGCAACAGCCAAGACTGTTGCGTGGTCCTACCAAAGTTAGTTGCCTGTCGTGGTTCACGCTATGGTTGACAGCGAGAGGGCGTGGGGTGCTGACCTCGCATATTGCGAGGACGTAATCGGAGACGTAGGAGGAGGAAGGAGGCCGCGGAGAGATTTCTCTGGGGGAGAAAGGTGCAAACCGCCGCCCTGGAAATCCGCTGCCGGAGACCAGGGCGGGAGGCCGGCATACGCTCTCGACCTTCCCCCGAATGGGGAACCAACCTTCCCCTGATAGCGAGACCACGTGCTAATTACACCGGCACAGCACTATTTAGCCGCCCTAGGTGTCGTAGCACCCGAAAAGAGGCCCAAGAAGGTCATAGTCGCGTCGGCTAATGAGATAGCGCAGGTGCAACATGGGTTTTTAGTGAGTACCCGTTTCTGATTGGGACTCCTACATACCCCTGCCACTCCTCCGATATGGTGGCAAGGGATCCATTAAGGATATTTCCCATAAGTAAATAAAAGAGGTTGTCAACCAGCAAAAAAATTAATTGTCCTTTTTCTCTGTCTGTCTTTAATTAACAATTTGAATATGATACAGATAAAAGTGTATGGGTCTTTTCTGGACTAAAGCTCTTACCATCTCGCCATTAGACTACACCACTATGGTTGGTCACATAGTGTGCTTACTGGCAGGCAGGCTAATGGGGGAAGTATCCCACCTTACAGAAGACGAGCTTAGAGTGGAAGTATTACTTGTAGTAGTAATACTTGTCTTTTCATCTAATGAGTGTGGTAATCAGTACCAACCTGTGTAGAAGGTTGGTGATGCATCTAACACCTCACAGATATTGTAAAGTCCAGGGACAGTAGTTATCCCTTAACATCACTGCTTTATTGTTAGCCATTTGGCTATATTCAGAGAAGTCGATTGATATTATTGTATTAAATAAACAATTTATCTCAAAAATTTTTACTTGAAGCAGTCTAAAAGACTTAATTATTAGTTTCCAAATATGTTGGCATCACCTGACTATATTAATTTCAATTTGTCTATATAACAACGAAGCAAACCATTTGGGCATTACTGACCCAAAAATATGATCATTATTTTAATATAAATATACAGAGGTATCCATTCTGGGATACTTTAAACTACAACATCATATTTAAAGTCTAAATTCCAGCCACAAGACAGTATAGCCTTATCACTGACATGAAATATTTTCTCATAGCAAAAATATCAAATACAGCAACTTACATTGTCACCCTCTACTTTTAATTTGGCTTTGCCCTTGCCTTTTGCAGGTTTCTTTGTTTTGTCACTCTTCTCAGATTTCTGTTTCTCAATGTACATATTATCCACTGTCATCTTTATCCTCTTGATATCGGCAGACGCCACTGAAAGTATGAAAATAGGTTTATCCTTATTTATGCAGACATTAAATGCAACTAGATCATTATTAGATATTTATGGACTAACATCATAGACTACATTCAACATGAAATGTCTATCAATGGAAAGCTAACAATTACAAAGCTTACAACACAATAATATTTAAGATTAGTGGCTTTTGGGATTTAAGTTGCATAAAACTACAAAGTTTGATGTCTAGAAACGCTAGCTGGGTAAATGGTACTTTAAAATTTCCACTTTCACCTACATACCACCCACCCACATAGTGTCATAACTCTCTTCATGGCTTTCGGAACACAATGACAACTAAAAAATTTAAATACAACCTAAAACTCTCTTTACTTCTCAACATGTTTATGTAAACAAAACTTTTTTACCAAAAGACATAAATGCACAACATAGGAATGTGATGACAGATATTACTGTCTTGAAAATAGTCTTATTTATGTATGTCAAAAGAACAACATCATATTATCGCCTAAACATTTAGTGTTATTAATCGTTGCCATTGGCTGCATTGAGATGTGGAATGTATTAACTACTCTAGGATCTGCAACAATTTGATTCAGAAAAAGAGAATACTCACTTTGAACAATAATGTTTTTGACAAGTTCGTCCACAAATCCGGGAAATTCTTCCTTGCTCTTGTATAGGTTTATCTTTTTACAGAGCAAGTCTGCAAACTCAGTAAACTCCTCTTTGTTTGTAGGTTGAAAATTGTCGAGTTTGCCACCAGCACCTTCAGTTATGCCTGCAATCATAATTATGAAATAATTATAGGTAAACAATCATTACACATGTTAATCTAAACTTAGTTAAAGTCTAATGGCCATAGTCAGAGATATTGCATCTAATTACAAAAACATTCCTTTTCTTTCTTTTTAATTCTGTTTTTAATTTCGGGACTTCATTGTGGCATTTCAGTACCATTGCTCTTAAGTGCTAATACATAGTTAATCTAAATTTATAGCTGAACAGATACACAACTATTTATATAAGTGTACAACCAAGTTACATATAATTTTTTGTTTTATATTTAAACAATAAATATTGGTGGAATTCATTACATTCACCGATATTTATTGTTTCAACTAAATTGCCTAATTAAATTATCCTTTCATTCCTTTCACCTGTAAGCAAGTTTTGTATATCTTCAACCAGAATCACAATTTGTTGGTACTTTTTTTGTCATTAGGAAAGCAAATTTATTAATCAAAAAGCGTCCTAATCAAAAGCTAACACAACAATAGACCTATTAAAATTGCAATGTATAATAAAGTAGTGCATCTGAAGTTGACTTCATATGATTTCATATCATACTAGCTGCTGAATAGGCTGAAGGCGTAACATTCAGACTGAAAGACAGATATATGTAAAAGTATGTATATAATTTATAGCCTATGTTTTATTCTTTTATAAGCTATACTATTGTAAATAGGTTAAAAATTCATTCCGTAGTATTTCCGTGAAAGAGTAACAAAAAGAGTAACATGCATCTATACATACAAACTTTCGGGTTTATAATATTAGTAAGGAAGTAAGGATAACATTTGTTTCTCTATCTTCAATCAGACGAATGTTTCCAAAACAAATATCAAAGTCATTAATGATGTGTTAAACCTTATGCATATAATCTCAAATATATGCCTTTTTTGCTAAACCATCAAAAAATTTCATTTTCTTCTCTAGTTAAGTTACAAATATAAGTTCTTTTGATATTTCTGTGTGCAGTCATAACACTTCTATATTAACATGATTTGAATGAGTATTGATTGAATTCATTACATTACATGGAAAGTATTTTTTTTTTATTTTAATAGATTAAGAACTATAATTTCTTATTTTAATATTTTTCTTAAAAATAATGCACTGTTATTATTGGTAAGTAGTGGTTTCTCTAGGGCAGAGGTGAAATGTCGTAATCAATTTCATTTTAAATTGCTACTGGAACTAAAATTATATCAATTTAATCATGATGATATAGAATACATATTGATAATTTTACAATAGTATTTTAACACAATATTACAAAATATAAAACCAGATAGTGCCCATCACATTTTCATTAAAATGTTTTATTATGAAAATAGCGCTAGAAGATATTGTAATAAAAATATTTAAAAACATCACTTTGTAAACAAATGTCATCAACACCAATGGCTTTAGTAGGTATTAGATAGGTGTCCTTATAACTGGAAATATCGGATAGAAAATATATGGCATTTACCAAAGGTTTCCATGGCAAGTCTTAGGTCTGATTCTTCTTGTAACTTCTGTGCGCGAAGCTTCTCTGCTAGCTTCTGTTCTGGAGAGAGTTCCTCAAATGCCTTCTCTGCGGCCAACCTCTCCGCTTTCTCCTTTTCTAAGCGCTGGAATACAATATTTCAGTACAAATGAATGTTGGGAAATAATGATCAACTTAAGAGTTCATATGCAAAAAGCTCTTGACCATTACAAATGTCAACTATTATAAGACCTTAAGTTATTTAATTGGTTACTGGCCCCAATATGCCAGTAACCAATTAAATAACAGGGTGAAATAAATTCAAGTTTTCTAACTTGCTTCTTTAATTATAATATTATAAAAATTGAAACTAAATTGATTATAAAAGTAAGTTTGCAATAAACCTTTCAATTTAATGACATAATCAGCTACTGCCTGTCACAACATTATTATGTGTCAGTATAAGTATTTGTTTTAATGAAATGACACTAAATTTATGATTTTATATAATGTAACTGTTCATTTTTAATAGTTAAAAAGTAAGGAATAAATTAAACAATAATAAAAAAAATAAACATCAAAGTAGGAAAAAGCATGTCACATTACATAGAAACCCATTACCAATTAATCAACATTTTACAATCTCAAATGCTTGAACTTGCCATAGCATCTGCTACATGAAATTATGATAAAAATGTACCTCTTTTTCAGCAATTTTGTCATGTATTTTCTTCTTCGGTTTGGGTTGTGGTGGAGGAAGCTCTTTTTTCTCTTCATCTTTTTTTTCTTCCTCCTCATCCTCCCAACTTTCCTAAAAAATTGAGTTGACGTCAACACGTAGGCAAGGTTTAGGTTATAAGTCTTAACTCGCAATGAAACTCGAAAAACTTCGGAACATATGCCAATTTACATTCCAAATCAACACTTGGCAACTTCTTAACATACCTTGACGACCTCGTCCTCGTCTTCGCCTTCCCATTTGTTTGACGACGTCAACGTGGTCGGTAGTTTGGGCTCAAAATTATCCGCGTCTACAAAAAAAGATGGCATATAGTCATCCATACTTCATTTTATTATAATTATTTGAGGTAAAACAAAGACGCACCCCAAGACATATCTGGATCCATGGTGGAGGAGTTTTTCTAGCACAGATCCAATTTTGTTACCTTTTCACGTGAAGACAAAATCAGACAGAAGCAACTTGCAGGTTTTTTATCGCAAGATGTCTCCAGGGTCGACTGAATTACAAACAACAATAGACTCAAGCGGATTTTGTCAAACGAGTGTGATTTTTCTGCAATATCCGCAACCGAATTGAAAAACAACGCACATGTGACATAATTTACGTGAATAACCAACAGAATTATACTCAGAATTCGTTGCGCAAAAATGAGACTCCATTGCAGACGATATTTCCAGAATTACTAAAATTTTCAATATGGCCGCTGACAGTGTTGCCATAGTCAAATTTAATAAACTTCCAGATTACTCCTTTATATCCAAGTAGGCATTTCAGATGAGAAAATATGATGATTGAGGATAATTTATTATCCGAGACTATTACTTAATATTTCATAACTTTTGTGAATACAGAATTGTATACATTTTACGCATGTATTACACCTGGGATACTTTATGTATTTTTTATTTAATCGTGTTAATGGTTGTAGTGACATATTATAATTTCGTAACAATCGTTTCGTAAATAATTAAACAAGGTTAATACCAGGACGAGAAAAACGTATGCACCTTTAGATTTAAAGCCAAAGCTTGCCGTCCTCTTTTTTCTTAGTGTTTTAATTACGCTATACTTTTTATACCATATATTTAAAATATTTGTTTAATAGAAATTACTTTCGTTAGTGCGAAATATTTTTTTTATTCAATGTCGCCTATATCAAGTATGTAAAAACTTTAATAGTTAAACTTATATGGACAAGCATTTTCACCCTATAAAATTTATGGTTATCTTATTTGAAAATTGGGTCGCGACTTCATAGATTTCGATCGGTATAAAATATAATCAAGTGCGTGTATTTTCTATTTTATCAATGACTTAGCAAAATGGCTAAAAGAAAAATAGAAATATTCTTAGATATTACCACGGAAAAAGAATTCGAATCTGCGATGATTAAATACTATAATAGTCTTATTTGTAAGTTCATCAAAATAATTTAAAATGGGTTAAGTTCAGTACACGCGCAGTCCCTTATTGATTTACGTTATCAAATTACTTTTCACACAACAGTAATTTTAAAGTTTAGTTATCGTAAAAATAATGAAAACGAAAACTATTTTTAAGCGACCATAGAAGAGCTTGTTATAAAATTAAGAGTACAGCAAAATATTTTATCCACGTTTATTTTATCCGTCAGGTGCGCAAATATATTGTACGTACTTTGGCTATTGTACGGCGCTTGATCACCTTTTTCAGAACATGAAATTAGATTGGAGCGACGGGGAAGCAATACTTTTGCGCGTACGTATTTTTTTATCTTTGGAGCTTTTTTAGTTTACTCGTAACGACTTGTCATATTTAGGTACCTAAGTAATTGATTACAAAATTAACAGTGTTTTGCAGATTTTCAGAGAATTCATAAAATGGGTAATGTCTCATTACGCAAATTGAAAGTAGAATAATTAAATACGTTGGATGTATTTTAGGAATGTTGTAAGACTATGTTGTCTTGTAATTCAAATTTCGAGACATGTTGTCTCGAAAAATTAGAGTAGTCTTAAAACATTTTCTATTCTGAATGTATTATGTACTGTCAACTGTGGCAACTTTACCATAATTTTTGACATTTTTGCAAACTATTCCAACATAGATGCAGTTTTTTATGTTATTGATTTAACCCGTAAAGCTGTCGCGTATTTATTGATTAAACCATCAAATTCATCTAAATCGATCATAGATTCGTTACAATATCTTTAATTATGAGCTTGGTAAAATTGACTCATTTTTGGCAACTTTACCTAGTCTACAGTTTATATGAAATAAGAATATAGAAGGACTGGCGACGCATTGTTACCATTGTTTCTTGAGTTAAATTAACGATACTGCAGTTAGGGAAACTCCTTACTGTTTATTTAAGCACTAGCAACACTTAGGGATAGTTGCCCCAAGATTTTTGTTTTTTTCATAGAAACACCCCAATATCGCCAGGGTTGTCAATTCACTAAGTCATATTAAAATAAACCAATTATCTCATAATTTTTTTTTATTAAGTTCCGTTTAGATACAAAATTAATAAAATAATATGGTTGATGGAAATAGTATCTACTATTCCTGTACTTGTTTAGTTAAAGTTTCTTGATGAGATGTTTCTACAGTTTTGTTCCGTTTTATGGTGGTCTTTATTTGTTTGATGATAGAAATATCGACGTTGCTAACAAATTTACCACTTGGCACATTTAATTTCGTGTTTTTACCTCTTTTTATTGGATTAGCATTTTTATTCTCTTTAAGATAATCGAGTAATGTGTGATCAACGTCGTATCTGATTCGATTAAGTGATGCTTGTTTAAGATTTTCTATTTTATATTGCAGAAGAATTTTTCTCCAAGACTTTTTCAACGGCCCGAAAAAAGCGACATCTAATAGTTGAGTAATTTGTGTTGATCTTGGAGGCAAAAACACGAAACGTATTTGATAAGTCTCGTACAATTCAACCACTTCTGGATTAAGATGGATAGATAAGTTATAACCTATAATTAATTTCGGACCTTCCAATTGTTTAGCCCAAGGAATCACTATATTCGTGAACCAGTCAAAGAATACGACGGAATCGAACCAACCGCTTTTAGTGCGATTATAGCGTGCTCCTTCCGGCCCATCTCTACACCATCTGTCCATAAATGTTCAGACTTATATACAACGTATGGGGAAGAAGATCACCATCAGCAGTACCGGCAAACATAATCGATATACAGCCTTTAGAATGGTTCATTTTTCTTTCGGGATACTTAACTCCTCGGCGAAATGTACATTCCATGGAGCCTGGATCATCAGACACGTTGGTCTCATCATAATTCATAATATTTTTAGGTGGCATATTTTGAACAGAAATTTCCAGATTTTTGAAATAATCTTTAAATTCTTCTATGGATTTTTCTGCCCATGCCTTTGAGATATTTTGAACTGACCTTAGGGTCAATTTTTCTATATGACGTTCTAAAAAATGTTTGATCCACCAATCGCCGGGAACCCTATCATCGAATACATATGTTTTGTTATTTTTCTTCAGGTAGTCGTACACCGCCAACTTTAAGTCCAACTGTGATAACGGACATCCGAAGTCGCCCGCCGCAATGAGTACATTAATAAATTTTTGTTCTTCTTCTTGATTTAAACGGAAACGGGGGCCAGGTTTATCCAAGTGAAGATTTTTTACTCTCTTTGCAATGGTTCGTCTGGGTATTCCCAACTGCTTCTCAGCCTCATAAGATGTTATATTTTTGTGTTTTACTAGATCAACAGCAAATAAAAGCATTTCTTCCTAGTAGTTTTTATAATTACGCGCTCCCAAACGTCTTCTGTTTCTTTTTGTGGTGCTTTTTTGGGAGGCATCTTGAAGAGACCTGTATTAGTTTCAAATATTAATATAGTAAATCCTAGACAGATATTTATAACGCTATAATTATGTTTTTGCAGAGGTAGCGTGCAATGTATGCCTTATTGTCAAGTGCGATACAATTACTAGCCAATTTTAAAGCGATCTATAAAGATAAAAATAAGCAAAATTCAAACAACACGCTAACTGCATAGTTGACAGCCCTAGTCGTAGGTAAAGTTGCCTCCAAGCCAGGCGAGGTAATTTGACCTAACCTCGAGCATCATTACTGCCTCCCATAACTAAGGAAATAAAAGTTTTAATAGATTGATTCATTAAAATGGATTCTTATAAGAATATACTCCACACAATTTACCATAAATCACTTACCTGCACTACAGTTTTCTGTGTTAAAATCAATTTGTCTTCGTTACCGCTGCGAGCACATTTGACCATATAAAATGAAAAGTCGCACTACTTGGCAATTAACGAAGCTGCCCTCATGAAAAACTTTTTGTGATACCACAATTTATCATAAAATCTACCAACACGGCAAAATTTCTACCTATTACAGCGGATAAGAAAATATTCCATATTAGTTACTACAAGGTATGCTTAGGTAAAGTTGCTCGAGAAAAGTGAAGATGCCACAGTTGACGGTACCTAAATAATGGACTATTTACAGCTAGCAACTCTTTCGCTGAATGAATGAATGAATATTTTATTTAGGTTCTACAAATAGCACAGCTATGTTAACAATAACTAAAAGAATATAATATAACTAAGGCAAGAAACTAAATATTAAAATTGAAATAATAAGTAAATTAGAACTAAGATTATCATAAAATTGGTACATTAATTCAAGGAAAATAACACAACAATACTAATAATAACATAAATCTAGTACATTTACAGGCATAACACAATAACTACTAATAATTTATATCTGTAAGTATGAACCAGTGAACAAAATAAAAAGAACAGAATTGCTAGGTCCGAACACTAACCTTATAAAAAGAGAAATGAAAGCAAAAGCAATAAGAACATCAAAATATAGCTCTATGAAAACACCAACCAAATTCGCAAGTCAAAAATACGTAAAGTATGTACACTGTATATAAAATAATTACACACCTTTTTTAGCTCTGTTGCTTTTGCACCTTAAGCAGCTGTTCTTTAAGTTTTATTTTAAGTGATGAATGTTGTGCAGTTTTACTGGAGGTGGTACAATATTCCAGCATTTTGTGGCATGTGGCGCGAAATGAGGATGCTCTATGTTTAATATTCAATAAACGACACACAAATCTACGGAAGTCCATGTTTAATTATATATGTCATCATCATCGTCATCATTTCAGCTTGTTTGAGTTCACCGCTGGACACTTCCACGAAGCACGATCTTCAGCGACATGTCTTTTTCACAGGTCGTCTCTTAATTTAGTTAGAAGGTGGTCGTCTCTATGATGGCTTATACGAGGCTGCTACTAGACAACCTGTTTTCAGCATCGTCATTGATTCCACAAGCTATACGGCCGGCCCATCTAACACTACATCTTTGTTCTGTGATCTATTACGCATAGAAATATCGAGCATAACCCGCTCTATAGCTCCTTGAGCGACTTTTACTCGTAGCTTCCTGATACAGCCAGTAGTGAAGGAACAAGTCTCAGATCCGTAGGTCATCATTGGCAACACACATTCATTGAAGACTATAGTCCTCAACATTAAGGTATATTCGGTATACGAGAGAGCGTTTTTAAGTTCGCGGAATAAGGGATAAGAGGGGGAAATAAACGTTCAAAATTAACTATTTTTCTATACATTTTTGAGATTTTACAAATGGTTCCCTCTGTACCTTTATAACATTTTTTTTCCTTTACGGAAAGATACGAGGAAACCGCTTCCTTAACTTCTTCATCGTCGAAAAATTTGGTTCCACGAAGATCTTTTTTCAAACTCTGAAGGTAGTAATCACACGGAACTAGATCTGGACTATACAGTGGATGATTTAAAAATTCGAAACTCACCTATTGCAGGGCAGCCAGTGCAATACGGGGTCCTATGAACGGATAAATCGTCGTTCAATAGAAGGACATCTTTATTTCATTTTCCTTTTTATATTTGATCAAGCGAGGCCAACTTTCCCATAAGACGTTTTTGTTTTTACATAAAAATAATGCTTGTTTAGTTCTTTATTACTTATATCATTTAAAAAAATTCAGGTGGCAGTTGACGAAATTAGAACACTGGAAAGATTCTGGGGTCGGAGTATACCTGTATTTCTGTTTGTTTTGGTTTGTAATACATTTTGTTATTTCCATGTAATTAAATATGTATCATTCTTCGATGCGATGTTGTAAAGCAATTCAAATCGGGGAAAGTAGTTGAAATGAGATGATAAGAAACTCCTAAACTATTAGAGACTTGTACGGATTGTAATTTCTAACGGTTATGTAATGGGAGACATGATGCGGATGTTTTATATAATTTTCCAGTTACCTTTATGACCTCGCGAGCCTTCATACAATATTGTTACGTGTTAGGGGTTCGAAGGATTTGGAGAGAAAGACCTGCTGACTCTTTTGAAGACTTTATTCAAGCACTAGGTCCAACACAAAGCACTAGGTCCAAACACTAAGCACTAACGATGTCCTATTTTGTAGCCAAGTCGTAGGTTTCACTGGTATCGCTCTTGATCACTAGTTTTCGCTCCGAAGTCGCCTCGAAGGTAGCTCAAACTGAACTGTCATCGCTCGCCTCCCTGCGGCTTTTTATATGGGCCGAGACCGGTTCCGGACTAATCCAGAAAGATCATTCCTGAAACGTACCCGACACGCACGAACATGTTCGTGATTCCGGAAAGTTCGCGAATGTACCCGGTTTTCGAGACTATTTTCCACAGCAGTTCCTCTAACGCCATCTAGTGTTGAATAGGGGGTTTTATGTCGTCTTTGTTCTTTAGTGGTTTTAATAGTTGACGCTAGATGGCGTTACTTCCTTTGTGTGTTCATAACAATATATTTATTTTTCTTTCAAACCAAGTAAATTTCTTCATCGTACTTAATGCGTACATTATTACCAACTCATAATATTTTCATCTCATTTTAAATGAAACAATTTTTTATGGACTCATTACGTTTATTTTAGTTTTTTGTGTCCGACATTTCGGATCCTTTGTAGCGTATATGGTCACGGAAAGACTGACGCTCGTTTCTGAATCACTGATCATCGTAGAAATCAACTAATCAGCTGTCAAACTCTCTGAATTGATCAGAATGATCTTCTTAATGATTAGAATGATCAATTCAAAGAGTAACCATCCTTTTGGCATCTATAACATTTGAAAATCCGTTGTCTGAGTGTCGTGTCTGAGTGTCAAAAGGTGCTAATTGGATCTTGTCTTGCAGTAGTGATTCGTTAGGGCCTAGATAATTTCATTGATGATAGGATATTGAAATTAGATTGTTTTGTAAATATCAATAGCCTAGCGGCTCATCTAAGGATGAGTAGCGAGGCGAGTAGTCGGTGTTCGTTTGAAAGGAGCTGTGGTCTATCGGACCGGATGAAGTGGTTGGGGCGATTTAAGTTGTGCTGAGAGACCACAGACTTGTTTGATCTGTTATGATTTAAACCAGCTGTTTGTCCTATGTAAGAGATGACATTAACAGACAAGCGAGCAAACAAACGAGCTTGCAGGGAGATATTACACTTGACAGGTGGTAAAAAAAGAATAATCTTCTTCAGCGGCTTGTAGAATGTATTAATCGTAGCCTGGTAATACATATAGCCAATCTTGTCGATGACTCCTCTGACTACCATAGTAGAACAGCAGGTACTCGATCCACTGTGGTTGGTTTCAGTCAGACACTAACGTAGGCGCAGTGCTCGAAGCTTGTTGTCATGCAGAGATTGCTTTACTTGTTGCATCTCAGCGGCTAGTTGGTCCTTGATATGGTCAGTCTGTTCCGTGACCATGAACGCTGAAGAGGCTTAGAAACGACGAGAACTGTAATTAAAAAATTTGACGTGATAAATCCGTAAAAAATAGTTTCATTAAGTATTGTGTAGTTGCGTAAATGAAGGAAAATTATTTTTACAAATTATAGAACAGACGAATAATAAATATCTTCCGAGGCGTGGATAACATCAGATTTGAAGCGGTTGCGAAGAGGGAAATAGGCCTATTCCGGGCGCAAAAAGAAGGTCGCTATATCGAAAGATCAACTTACGACATAAGTGAACAGACGCCGGAGGAGATCGTATGTATTTTTGTTTATACTGCATTATAAAAAAAATGGGTCATGATCAAAACAAACTTACAGAAGGTTCTGCAATTAATGAAGAACATAACAGCTGTCTGGATAGTTAATGTTTGTTGGTCATCTTGCTACCATTGCTATTAATTTGTGGGTTCGATCCGTGAGCGGGACAAAAATTTGTGTGATTAATAAATAGGTGTTCAGATCCTTCGTGTACATTATCACACAAATGACACATATCTTTAGCTTAAAGAAAACAATACAGTGTGACTGTATGTCAATACATATTTTTACGTGGACTTTTTTCCCTTGTAAATTATACATCTTTATACTTTTCCTTGCGTATGACTGACTTCAGATTTCTAAAAGTAGTCAGGGTGCACGCCACGACCGCGCGGTGTGGTATCTCAGACCATCGCTTATTTCAAAGACGAAAAGTTCGAAATGCACAGGAATGGTCCAAAGCTCGTCAGGCGGAAACGGAGGGAGCCCTGCTGAATGCTCTGGAGAAAAAGAATGCCCGTCAGGCGGCGCGAAAGCGCCACAGGGCCGAGCTGATGGTGCCCAGCCTGCAGCACTTGAACTTCGTGCTGTACTGGCCTCACAGCACCCACGCCCACCCGGAGCTGTACGAGAAATGGGATCCTCACAGTTGCGGGCAATAACTGTTATACTTTTGTTAAAATTCTCATTTTTTACGGTCATTTTTACTATGTTGGAGCCATGTTCTTCTGTTGTTGCACAAACGGGCAGCCTTGTTACTTCCCTGAGCATGAAACTGCAGACACTTTAGATATAAAATACCTCATTATAAGTATGCCTAAAGGCAGTCTAATTTTAATTATCACCGTCTTTATATCACTACATAGTATAAAACAAAGTCGTCCCGCAGTCTGTCTCCTATGTATGCTTAGATCGTTAAAACCACGCAACGGATCTTGATGCGGTTTTCTTACTAGATAGAGTGATTCACGAGGAAGGTTTATGTGTATAATACATTGAACCCGTGCGAAGCTGGGGCGGATCGCTAGTATTGTAATAAAAAAATGAAATTACCGGTGATTTTAAAACTTTGGAACAGTTTACATTTTAATTTTTTTGCATTGTGATTAGCAACAGTCTTCACTGTTGTACGAATGGGCCGATCCGTTAGGGGAAGTACCTACTACACTTTATTAAACGGCGGTAACGTATCTGCAACCCTACGGGTGTTGCAAATGTCGTGGGCAACGGTTATTACTTAATATCAGATGAACCGCCAGCTCGCTTGCCATGTTCTAACATAAAAAGTAACATATTTTTGATGAAGACTGACACTGAGAGTTGACTATTACAAATGGTTGAATTTAATGTTTGTTAGGCGCGAATTGTTTGCGAAACGTTTCCAAATGCAGTTGTCTACTTGTCTAATGAATTAAAATAATTTCTAAAATTATTGTTAACACCTACTTTTAAAAACACATGAGAACTGTTTTATATTGTGAATCATGTCCCGTAGATACGATAATATAGAATTTGAATTTAACGAAGTTAAATGCTTTCATATTTGTCCATAGATATAATAATGGTGGGTCGAGAAGAGATACAGCTTACCAGGGAAGTAGCCGAAGATGTTTTGTATGCGGGCGATGCCCCAATGAACGAGGGTTCTATGCATTTCTTACTTTCATCTCCAGCCCTCGCTATATGCTTTCGTATACTGGACACAGACAAACATTTCGTTTGTAAGTACTCATTCTGACAATACACCATCCATCCATCTAAAGTAATGAGAGTAATTCTATAGTTTGTTTGGGTGTCCATACAAACTATATAGAGTTATAGTTTGTATGGGTTGGTTGGTTGGTTTTTTGTTGGTTTGTTTGTATCCATATTCCATACATACTCGTTGCATGTTATAAACTGTGGTAGGGCCACACAACAGCTTCGGTTGTTGCACGAATGGGCAGGTCCGTCCGATTAAATACCACGACCTCACAGAAGACCGGCGTGAAGTGGAAGTGTCATACTTCTGCGTTTCTTCTGGTGAGTGAGGTAGACGGGGCCCACTTAATTAGAAGGTGGCAACGCATCTGCAAGCCTACGAGTGTTGCAAATGTCCATGGGCGGCGGTTATCACTTAACATCAGGTGAACCCCCTGCTCGCTTACCACCATCTTCATAAAAAATAATAAAACGTTAGTAAAGTATATGTGTACATTTTAAGTGCGATAATTTTTCCCAACAGTTCCCCTGACTTCGGTTATCATGTCACGTCTCTCTAAGATGTATCTATTATTGTTTTGTATTTTACGTTTTATTTTCATAATATTAAGTTTTTGCTTGAATGAAGGGAATAAGAAATCGTCGCCATTAGCACATTCATCATATGCACAGCTAATATAAATGATTCATGCCATCTATTATGTGAATCTATTATCTGTAGCCAAAATTCCGTATTGCCTCATATGGCAAATACAGTTTCTTGGTTACGTTCAGAAGCGATTATCAGACTAATTTATGTGTTGAAGACAACTTAATATTACGTGTTTTTTTATTTATACTTCTCAAACACCATATAGCCATAGTTCGGAAGATACTTTACGAAGATTTATATCCTCTGGATGAATCTGTTTCCACAACGGACCAGCCTCGACCGCGAACCGCTTTCGACATTTACAAGTCCTACAGTCTACCCAAAGAAGAAATCTTACGCAGACGCCGAGAGGAGAAGGTGAAAAGACGGGTAACATCCAGTTATTGAATTACCTCAGATATAATTAAGAAGTGTTATTTTATTCTTGCAACTTTTTGGTGGTTTTTGTATAGTGTTTGGATTGAATAAGGTAAACTTAAAATCGTAAATTATGTTCCGAGGTCTTCTATACAAATATCGAATATATTTTTCCATGTAAGAACTTTGTTTAGTGTATTCCATTGCTTACTTTAGTATATTTTAGATATAAATATAAAATAGTATATTTTGTAAAGTCCACTTCTGGTGGTTTTAGGTGAGATATAATGTTCAGGATTAACTCGTTGCATTCGCAACGATATTGACTCTTGTCAATTGACAATGTTGAATATTAGATAAAAGTTCACGCCATCCCTCGTCGGCAAGCTTCATTACCTTCTACGTTCTATTGAGAGTCTATTTTCCACACGGGATTAAAAATTATGCACTCCATAAACAGTGGTTGCGATTCCCGGAATACTTTGTATCGGACACAAGAATGTTTCCTAACATAGGGCAGGTTTTAAAAATGACCAATACACGAACGTTTTTGAAGCAAAACTTCTTTGAGCGCATCAGAGTAAAATTTCACGGCCGTGCGCGTTGTTTGAAATCGTCTCGAGAATCCTTCATGCTTAACTACCAGTTTCAATATTCGATCTACACATAGATTTGGTTACCGGAGATAGAATTTGGCATTAAGTATTATGGAGTTAATGTCAAATACCTATCGCTAGTAACAAAATCATCTATAGATAGAATATTAAAACCGGCCGTAAGACGTTTACGTCACGGGATTGCTCATAATACCTATACGCGATAGATCTAATAATCCAGCTAGATAGAAAGACGTCAAAGATTATTTCTGTAAAGGTTTTATTTGTCAAACCTTTTCAAGCCCTATAATAAAATATTTGACATACGATGTTATTTTAAGGGGCAAAAATTTTCAAAATTGTGCACCTGAAATTCGATGTAACAGATGTCCATGTATTACTTAACAAGGACCGCCTGCACGTTTGTCAACTTTTTTTTTTCTTTCTTTTGTGTTTATTTTTAGGAGCAGGCAAAGGAAAACCGTGCTCGGAGACTGAGCGAGATGCAACGATTGGCGCGGCAAGCTATTGAAGAGGCGATACAGGCTAAGCGAGCCCAGAAGGAGAGACAGAAGCTGGAGCTGCTTAAAGCTGGTGTAATTCCAATGACCATTGTCGTAGTAGTAGTGATATCTATACAATGTATTTATTTACATCGCGAAACTCCGAGATATCTTGAAATGTTTATTTATTTTGACCCTAAATGTTTTTTCTGCGTGGTTGCCACGGAGCGAAACACTTAAAATTGCAATTAATAGTTTAATGATCAAGTCATCCTGTTCATTTCATGTATAACAGTGATTGATAGTTTTGATATTGCATTTGCAACAAGCTTCGAACTGTCCATCACTGTCAGATGATAGTTTATTCATTTCAAGTTTTTTAATTCTTTTATAATATCGACCGAGGTTTTTGTTCAATTATTGTTACATATGTTTTTTAAATAACACTTTTCTGAACCTCTCAAGGATAAGAAACCCACCACAAAAGACTTTAGAAAATAATTTCTACCTTTCCCATTCACCGACTAAACCAATAATCTAATTTCAGAATCTCGCTGGTTTGGAAGACTTCGAACGAAACTCTCTCGAGTCTGATATCGATATCGTTATACCAGAGGTACCTAAAATTAAGGATACCCTAAAATTTATACAACCCGGCAGGGGCAGTTGCTGGAGATCCTGGGTTCGATTCCCACACGGGGCAGGTATTTGTGTGGCCTATAGATAATTGTTCCAGGTCTGGCTGTCTAATCCCTTAGGATGGTTGACGCCAGGCAGCCGGCAGTTCGTAAAGATGCTTAGTCAATACTATAAATAACTTTATTTCAATTGTTTTTTCCCACCTATGTGGAATGAGGGCAGTAGAAAGAAGAAGATATATATATATGAATTCAGCAACTTCTTTCTCTTATAAATAAACGTTTTTATACACGTCAATGATACATAAAATGTCTATAGTTTAACAATATTTCTAATGTACTATGTAATGCACATTCAAAAGCGTGTGTTATCGATTTTTCTTTGAAAAAGCGAATCGCGTTTATAGTGGAAATAAATGAAAGAACCGAGAAATTTGTCTCAACAGATTCCTTTCTTTTTTTTTTGTCTAAAATATTACGTTCAACCGGCGCTCTTTTTTTACCGCGGTAGAACTACGCAACAGTCTTTCGTTGTCACACGAATGGGCTGGTCCATCCGGGGTCGTTCCACACCTCACAGAAGACCGGCGTGAAGTGGATGAGTATAACTCATCACTCACTTGTGCGTTTCGTCTGGTGAGTTAGGTAACCGAGGGTTGGAAGGTGGCAATGTATTTGAAACCCCACGGGTGTTGCAAATGTCCATGGGCGGCAATTATCATTTATCATCCGGTGAACCGCCAGTTTGCGCACCACCTTCTCACATAAAAAAAAAAGAATTAGGTACTTCCCCACTCGAGAAATACTAGTCGTATTAAGTTTTTATATCAATTTGGTCAGTATCTGGTTTAGGTTTGATGACGCCGTAGGTCAAGACTATATGGCGCCTAATAAAGCCTAAATCCGCTACTGAATTTGGTAGAGTGCATGCTCGATGGATTGGCCTTCTTTTAAAAGATACGACCCCTATAAACCTATTAGTGTAGTGGATATCCATTAAAAAAATAAAATTTTGTATGTTCTTTTATATCAAGGAGTTATCAGACGCAGAAGTGGAGGAAGAGAGTGAGGAAGAAGACGAGAACGAATATTTCCCGCCAGCGGGTTTGGTGATACCTGGTTTTTACGCGCCTCCCAACGATATAGCAAAAGTCAATGGGCTAGCCATCTTGTTCCCGAAGGTTAGTGTCTTGTGAATCAAAATGTTTCCGCTGTATTACTTCATCACAAGAACCAATAATGTTTATTAGAATAACTTTTTAATAAAGTCGTTTAAGCTTCAGGATGTAGCTTCCATTTAATAATTATTTTATTTATTTATTTAATTTATTTAATCTTTATTGCCAACCTTCAGTAAAACAAGGTAACAAAGGGCGGACTTAATGCCCAAAGCCATTCTCTACCAGGATGTGGTGAGAGTTTATGGTAGGTGCAGCAAAAGATGCAAAAATAATAAAATTTTAATTAAAGAGAATAATATTGTAAGAAAGAAGAAGATATAAGCGGATAAAAATAATATAGATAACTTAAAATACGTAACTACATAACTATGCAACTAAAAAAAACATCTAACCGAGGTAGTTATACGTTTGTTATGAGATATTAGATTTAAATGAAATATTTTTATTTTGAATGTTTTGACTTTGATGATCCGTTTTTGTGACGAAAATTTTCCTTAGTAAGCATATTAGTGTGATAATGAATAATTGTCTATTGCAATAAAATACAATTATTGCAATGCTTCGCCGGTTTATTAGGTCCATTTAATATGCTAATCATAATCCTTTACTTTATATTATTATTGAATATTATTAAAACCTGATAGTGATGCAATAATAATAACTGTGGCTTGCAGATAGTGTCGGAATATGTGACGCCTCAACCGGAGTTCCTGCCACCGCACGTGCTGGTCTTAATAGATCTCACTAAGAGATACAAAGCCATAGAGAGCTTGGCTAGATACCGAAATGCAGTTATACATGTGAGTGCGATGAGGTCTATCGTTTTATTAATAAACATATTCGATAGTAGTTTCACGGTGGTAGGGCCACGCAGCAGCCTCGGCTGTTGCACGAATGGGCAGGCCCGTCCGGGTAAGTACCACGACCTCACAGAAGACCGCCGTAAAGTAGGAAGTATGACAAATACTTTCACGTTTCGTCTGGTGAGTGAGGTAGCCGGAGGCCAATTTTTAAAAGGTTGTCAATGCATCTGTAGCCCTCGGGTGTGGCAGATGTCCATGGGCGGCGGTATTCACTTAACATCAGGTGAACCGTCTGCTCGTTTGACAACTTTTCACATAAAATAAAAAAAATAGTAAGAGCTAGGCAATATGATGCCTTTTAAAAATATTATCCTCCTGCCCTAATCCCACATATACACGACCGGCCGCCTGCGTGACGTCGCTCTCACATAAAAAAAAACGTTCCTTGGCAACAAACATCCAGATCCGGATCAATTATCAGTTGGGTCACACAAATACTGTCGTATGTACGTATATATCCAACTGCTGGACAAAAACTTCCTCTGAACAGAGAAGAGGAGAGGAGGTGGCAATTAATCATTTAATTGGAGCCAGTACCTTGATTTCAACTGGGATTATCTGAGTTTTTCGATAGATTGATATAAATTTCATATTTATGACACGGGTATATAAATACTAAATAACTTTCAGATGGGTATATTCAAAACAATGTCACCGTACTCTTCGCAGCATGTCGCTTACACCGTGAAACAGTTTGACTCTCTTAATTTATCAATAAATATGTAAGCATCTAATGATTAATTGAAAAATGTCTTATTATCAAAACGCTGCAGATAGACATGTCATTCAGAAGTAAGAATAAAATTAAAATTTGATTTTAATATGTCGAGAAATCTTCTTCACCTTTGCCTAGATTCGAACTTAGGAAATGAAGGCTAGACTTTTATTGGTCTAATTCGTTTACCATTGTATGGCTGCATCGCTACTTACAATCAGATGAGATGACAGTGAAGCACTAGGCAGTCAATTATAAAAAAAAAAAATTATAAAATGAAATTAGTTCATATTTAGCAAAGTTTAATGTTATTAAAAAAAGTAGAGTTGAGGGACACCTGGTTGGAAAGAGGTTCCCTTCGCTGAAATGAAAATCAAAACATTATGAGCAATGCAAAGTTTAGAAATCTAAAGGCTTTTCTCCGTGTCATATGTAGCTAAATCTTACTGTTCAAAACGTGTAATTCACACGCATAATCGCCGAAACATTTGATTACGTACCTCGGTTTATTCGTAAAATACTGAATATCACTGTTATAAAAGTTCACAGTTATACTGTTTCAAGAGTGGTTGGTGTTATTCATGAGTTTTCTGTCTATTGGTGTTCAAAAAGCTAAATGTAGATGTAGGATGAAAATGATAATTTGCAGGAATGATATGAAATTGGCGTTCATGCTGTCCATAACAATTGATCTGCCACTGTTGGAGCTGATGGAATTGAATCCGTATTACGTCAGCCGCAATCCGGATATGGGCGAGGAGGAGTGTGCAGCCATGTTTCCAGTTGACTACGGCGACGTCTATCCAGAGTTCGAAGATTTCGAATTTCTCAATAAGGGAACGCGATTATCACTACAAAACAAAAATCAATGTTGAATTTTGATATGTGCATTTGAAATTCCTTGAGACTATCTTCGAATTACAATGTCTACGATAGAAACTTTATGGTGTTCCAATATTGACGTCTAAAAGTTTACCCATTTATAGTAGTTCATCTATTTCGGCACCAGCCTTGCAGTATTTTAAATTATCAACATAAAAGAGATTAAGTAAAATGGGGAGATACAAATAAAAAAAACCTTAAAATTTTTCTGCAATATAATTAAAGTACAAAGGCCGAGAAATACAGACTGATAAAATTCAAAGTCAGATTTAAACATATAATTATGTAGGAATATGAAACACTAAATCACTCACTCTTGATGTATCGTTTTATTTGCCTCTTGCAGTATTGAACGCCATATGTACTTCCTCAGGTATGCCGTTTGCTGTTGCACTGCTTCAAGTATCTTCTGATTTATCACTAGAAGTCTTTCGTCGAGCATAATGTATTTCGATCTAGCATTAAACCAGTTTTCGGGGCCTTGCCAGCACGGTATACCATCTAAGGAATGCTTACCAACGGGGGAGACGATCGCGGCGGGATGCATTTTAGAGTAGCCATTATTGTAATTACTTAGCACCATGCTCAACCATGCGCAAGATAAATTATTGCCATCTATGTAAACGGTTAGATCGTTACCATGGCTGAGCCAAGCGTTGCACTCCAGATTGGTCATGTTGTTGTGCCTTATAGATAGGAATCTTAGAAACTTCAGATCCGACAGAACATTCGAGTCTAGATAATTTATCTGGTTAAATGATAGATCTAAATTCAGCAAAGAAGTCAGGCCTTGAAAGACGCCGTATTCTATTTTTGTCAGATAATTGTGGGACAATCTTAAAATGCGCAAATTTTTCACTCCATGGAAAGCAGACGGTTTGATATATTTCATTTGGTTTGAGGTTAAATCTAAATAATTGAGAGTGATTGGTAGTTGTAACGATGTCTCGTTTAAACCTGTTATAAAATTTCCACTCATGTCCAGCTTAGTGAGATTGCGATGATGTTTTAGAACGATTTTAGTGGGATCTGATATACGATTTGAATGCAGGATCAATTCGATAAGGCCTTTCGCTTCTCCTGGTGAAATGTTGAACGATGACAGGCCGTTCTGTGACAAATCCAGTACACCCCCTTCAGCATGAAAGGTGACGCGAAAATCAACTACCTGCTGAATGTCGTTATCGGTAATGTTAAGTCGCTTAAGATTACTAGAGTGTATTAAGCTACCATCCGGGGCATATTCAAACTCGTTGTTGGACAAATCTAGATTCTGCAAATACCTCATGAGTGAAAATGTCTGAAAGTCTAAATTTTTTATTCGGTTGCTACTTATATTCAGAAATTTAATGCTCGCTAAATCTTCACTGTTGACAACAAATTCGCTTAATTCGTTATTAGAAATGTCTAAAGATATCATATTAATTGTAGAATGAAAAGCATTATATTCAACTTGGCTTATTTTGTTACTTGACAAATCGACCTGTGTTAAGATGTCAATCTGATTTTTATTGATGTTTTTCATAAGTTCTTCTGAGGTAGCATTTAAAATAATACTGAAGTCATTTTTAGAATAAACCATTCTGCATATACCATGATTATTAAAATGGCCCCAGTGCCTAAAAAGTAGTTTTGGATCCAGGTCCACCAATTTATTATTCGAAATTTCGAACGTTTTCAAATGGTATATCTTGTCCAATGACTTACCGTCAATGAAATCTATCTCGTTGTTATTCAGTGAAAGATGTTTTAAATTCAATAGCTTCATATTAATAGCGCCGTTTAAATATTTTATGTTGTTATTATTCAATATGAGTGTTTCCAGATTAGTTAAATTTGAGAAAGGCTCTTCGTTCAAATCTTTAATATAATTGTTAGAAAGATCGAGTTCCTTTAAGCTAGTTAACTCTTGAAAGACGTAGCCGGGTATATCTTTGATTCTGTTGAACGAGAGGCGTAGTTTTTTTATCTTATTTTCATATGCGAATACGAACAACTCGTCGATTTCTGTTAATTCGTTGTGAGATAAATCAAGCTCCTCGAGACGGCTCAGAAAATGGAAGGGGCTGCCATGGATTCGTTTGATTTGCATGTTGACGAGGTATAAATGTTGTAATCTTAACGTGGATTCTAAGAATGTCAGATTAGCCTGTGCCCAAGATCCCAGTACGGTTAAAGAGGTTATGCTCATTAAGAAGTCGACGTTGGCTACATTCACATGAAAACCGTTGACGGCATTTTCAAGAGTTACATCGACTATGACGTCATTGTTGCTTGGGCCTTGACATTCTGGCTCTAGCCAGGCACCATTGATTATACCGATACATCTGATTTTGTATTTACAAGAGCCGAGATGATGAATTCCTTCTTTTGGACAGGAACACGCGGCGAGAGATGCAAACAGCAAGACGAACACGCCGGTCGATACTGGAAATAAAAAAAAAGAGCAAACTTACTTTTTTCAATTTGTACGCTAGCGGTTTTCTAACTGTAACTTAATTAATTATTATTAATTACTTATTAATAGCGATAAATCCGTAAAATTAGTATCATTTATAATGTGTAATCGCGTAAATACAAGAAATTATTATGTACCTTTTTCAATTCCCTTTGGTTATTGCTCTGGTCTCTCTATATTTAATGATATTCTTTTTTTCTATCTAAAGATTTATGTTATCGATTAACCCCTGTACATAGCATAGTTACGCGGCCCCACTGCAGATTGGCGGACATCACATATCTTTTTTTGTTTTAGTTCGTTTCTTTGTTTTCCTTCACCGCTGAGCGTGATAGGTCAGCACTTAAAATTAAAAATTTCATTGGTGCCGCCGCCTGGGATTGAACTCGGGTTGTTCGAGTATATTTAATTAAAGGCGAGCGCCGGGCACTGAACAAAGGCGTGATAGCCTTTTTTCACGAAGCAAAGTGTATTACATATTTATGAAGAAAGAATATTATAAAATTTTCGTTTTCTATCGTGTTTAAAGTTCAAGAAATTGAACTCATACCTACTGCCCTTAAAAGAATTTTTATTTATAAATGTGATTATTTAGTTATATCAACTAGTAGTACCTAAACATACATAATACCAAAAACAGTTTTCATAGTTTATCACGGTAAATAAATATATCCTTTTATCGTCTATATTCTTTTATCTTTGATGCAGAATGTTCAACAGTAGATTGAGTCTAAATGAATGAGGTTGAAATGATGATGATGAAATAAAAAAAATCATACATTCTTTCATTCGCTATAAAGCTCGCTCTCACTCTAAAAAGGGAGGATTTTCACATAAACTTCCATCCCCTATTTAAACTTTTTATGGGTGGATTTTTCCAAATAACCTTGCTATTACAAAATGTATTTTTCTAATTCAAGTTAAGAAAGAAAGTAAAGTAAGATCTTCTCTGAATAGAGAGTATCAAGACGTACTCAACTGCGGATTCTCAGACTTAACATATAAACGCTAGTGATAGATAAATAAAAACATAAGTACATATAAAAAATCTATAAAATCGTTAAACAAACATATCTTCATACATACCGGTATACATGGTGACCGCGTTTTTTTAGATCAGCTTCTAAACCCTGAAATTGATAATGGCTTATTCATTACTCTGTTGACCGTTTAAAAAGATATTAAGGGTTGATTATTAGGGTATTACTAGGAAATTTATTCAGTTAATTGTTAATGAATGCACTTAACGAGAAATAACCAAAAAATATGACGTCAGAAATGAAGCAATCCCAAAATTCTGAAAACATCTTCGTTTTTTCCTTATAAATATTGTAACTGTAAAACCACTATACCTATACCGCGTTCGACTAAAATTGACATAGAATAATAAATGGCAATCGTTCCGTGCTATCCACATGATGAAGGATTTTGAAGGATGAAGGACGATTCATTCACGAGTATAAAATCGAATTCTAATATTAAGGTTCCGTACCAAACGGGCCCCTCATACTAAGACTTCGCTGTCTGTCTGTCACCAGGCTGTATCTCATGAACCGTGATAGTTAGACAGTTGAAATTTACAGAGATGATGTATTTCTGTTGCCGCTATAGAACAAATACTAAAAAAAGAGAATAAATACATACTAAAAAACGGAATAAATGGGACTTCAATACAACAGACATGATTGCCTTTTTATAGATGGTACGGAATCCTTCGTGCGCGAGTCCGACTCGCACTTGGCCGGTTTTATTTTTTTTGTTGGCCTGTATTATGGTCCGAAAGATATGATGATAATAATTAATAATTCTTATTTAATAGTGCCAACGAACTTTATTCCTTTACCTGATTCCGGAAATTGTTTAGTATGTTAGTAGTAGAATGTGCATCGAGAACCAGCCCCTGTTAGCTTGCGCCCTGGGTTTGTTATTTTGATATAAACTCAATTCATCAAAAGAAAATAAAGTAATCCCAAAATAGTAGTAGTACCTAAACGTGCAGTGGTCGTTTATCATCAGGATGTTTATGCTCGTTTGCCTCCTTTTCCCATAAAAAAATAATAATAATGCAGTTTTTTTTTACCTTTACAATGCAGCCATCAGACGCGTGGAGGCGGTTTCTACTTGTGAAAACAAAGTCCAAAGTGTGCTCCGGTTCGGTATATAATTCGAGGCGCGCGATTTCGCTGAGTGCACGGAAAAGGAATACCGCGCTGTGTCATAGAATAAAATGTTGGATTGTCATTGATATAATATTTTGAAAGTGATTTACGATGGCTGGCCAATTCAAAATATCTTTATTCAAATAGGCGCTTGCGCATTCTTACGAAACGTCGAATTTCACATAAGTAATACATAAGTGTAAGTTATCAGAATTGAAATTGTTTATCAGCTTCTGCTGTGTCGAGAATACGCGTTGTGTTGTGGTACAGAAGAAAGGATTTAGGTTGTATGAGAGCTTCTTAAATCAGGTGTTTTATAAATCAGGTGACTCCGTGGCGCAGTCGTCTAGGTATTGGCTTCGGTGTCGTGGCGCCGTGGGTCGTGGGTTCGATTCCCACACGGGACAACTATTTGTGTGACCCACAGTTAATTGTTTCGGTTCTGGGTGTTTGTCCACGTGAAATTTATGTATGTAAAAACGACCTTACAATACAGGATAAGTATTGTAAGGTCAAAGTTAAGTGAGAAATGTCTTTAAAAAAAATAAAGAAAAGTATATTATAATTATAAATGAGAATTGCATTTCACCGTGCCGCCTCCTACTATATAACGTTATTTGAGTCTGAGCTTAACATTCTTTAAGTAAGTTTAAGATATATTTTCATTTAGAATATCTGAGATAGAGCTGTAGAGAATTATATATGTTAATGTGTGAAAGTAGAGTCAGAATTAAGTAAATTTTAATTTAGTGTTTGTTACGGAGCTTTTGTTAGGGAGATGAAAAACTATAAATAGTACCTACCATACGAAAGGTGCAGTGATATTGTATGAATATTCCTGAGGACCTTGTTACCTTTAATTTAATCACGTTATAATGCTTTTCGTTCAATTATGGTGATTATTGATACTATTAAATCTAATATATAAAATTCTCGTGTCACGGTGTTTCTGATTGAACTCCTCCGAAACGACTCAACCGATTTTCGTGAAATTTTGTGTGCATATCGGCCAGGGTAGAGAATCGGACAACATCTATTTTTCATCCTCCTAAATGTTAA